ATTTGTACCATTAGCATGGATACAAACTCACTACATCTTGATAATGACGCTGCATAGTGATCTGTAAGGCTGATATACATTGAGATCATCCACCATAAATAATCACACTAACTGGTTATTTTTAGAGGGGATAGTATTCTATAATCCCACTCAAGGGACATCACCCCCTAATCAATGAATGGATGGTGATGGCGAAAGAGTGGTCCCACTCTCCATTGATGGACGGTGATGACCCTGAGTAAGGTTTGTCATAGTCTGTGAGATTATGGTATACCTTCACTACCTTAACTTAATATTGTTAAAAGTCCAGCCGCTTGATGTCAAAACATCCTGAGTTTAAAAAGGAATGTTTGATATACATCATTGTGAATTTTTTATGGATACATATCAATACAACTATGTATATGTATATTTATACGAGTCTTGTATTCTTTAATCAATCAATATACAAAGAGTTCTCTATAGTATTTTGACATTCTAACATGGTATACTAAATACATTAATATTCAACACCTTTTTTAAGTTTTCAAGCTTCTATTTTTTATTTTAAAATTTTCCATTTAGATAAGTTTTAATTTCTTGACATATTGAATGGGTGAGGCTTTGGTATAGCTGTGGCCTTACAAAATTGTAAGGCCACACCTTGAAAACCCACAAAAAGAAACCAAAATTCAGGCAAAAATATAAAAGAAACCAAAATTCAGGCAAAAATATATTAAAGGGTCTGCAAAGGAATTTTGTATACAATCCCTAACATGAAAAGAATTTTAAAATTTGAAAAGTTTATATATAGCCGAGGCTCTAAACAATCTAATTGGAGCCTACGTTAAAAAATTCATTAGAAGAGGTTGTTTTGATGCTCTAATATCGTCAAATTGATCATCTCGACATCAAGATGTATGGACATGAGAAAAGAATGCATTGCAAGTTTTGAAAATAGTATATTTTGTAATGTATTTTCTGACCGTCAATTTTTAAAAATTTCAAGTTTTCATAGATATGTCGATCTACACTATTTTTGAAGCTTTAAAATTTATAAATAAATATAGAAATATATTTTGATTCTATCAAAAAGATTTCCAATATTGAAATTATATTTCTCGACACTATTTGAAGTTAAGCTCTAATTTGATTGTTTAGAGCCTAGGCTCTATACAAACCGCAATGACTTATATAAAAGGACATTGTTTTTTTGCTAATTTTATTTTCAATGATTTCCTCATTAAAGTGAGACCTAACCCAATATCACATGAGTGTGACCATTTTGCATTGAGGACATTATATGATATGTAACCAAATTTAAAAAAGTTTCTTTTAGATTTTTAATATGTAACATAATTAAAAAACATCCCGCCCAAAGTTCCAATGGGGTGCAAGTCAATATGTGGCTCCAACTATACGGTGCCTCACACAAGGATTTATTTTTTTCCTTTTATATTTTTTCATTTTTTTGTATTTTCGTGAACCGATTCTCACGCAGAGAATTGGTCCGATTCGCCAACCCAAATTCGCGATTCCCCTATCCATACCGTCCCTCAACCGATCCGGTTTTCTAACCCCAGAGCAAAAAGGGGTACACTAGAAAAAACCCTTATTATCAAAGATATTTTTTTGCTAGCTACCTTCACATGAAACTTGTGAAAAAGTCCCCAATTTGCTAGCAAAAGGAGATGCCATTACTTTGGAGTCCAAGTATTTAGAAGATGGAAAAAATCTATATAAGGTTGCAACTTTATATTGTTGAAGTAAGGTACATCTAAAAAATCCTACATTGGAGAGTGCTCCGGCATAGAAAAATCCACCGGGTGTTCATTTAGACCTTGAGATGAATGGATATGAAGAAAAAAGAAACTACAAGTCAAAAAAATAGTGTATCTTGTAACAAGTTATTTGGACCGTCTATTTTTAAGAATTTCAAGTATTTCTTGATCGGCTCAATCTATACCATTTTTAAAATCTAAATTTATATAATTGAGGATAAAAAGAGATTTTGAAACCATAATAAATTTTTCGACACTTAAACAACATCTCTAAATAAATTTTATAACTGCACCTTACTTCTACAATATAAGCAGGCAACCTTATACAAACCTCACACTAAGAAGAATGCTGAGAAGTGTCAAAAATACTTTTGAGATATAATCTACTATTTAACCACTCTATTTTTTTTTGTGTTAAATTATCCCAAAAAACATGAAACAAAATGTAACACCCGAGTGTCTACCAAGAGATCTTGGTTCTTTTAGTGGCAAAAAAGCAAGGGTAACTTTTTCAAGGAAAAGCTTTTTTGAATACCCTAACAGGACATACCAAAACGATTCAAAATCCAATTATGGGCTAAAAGTAATTATTTATCTAATTCTCGCTTAGGGTTTAGATTTTGGGCTTATACTTTGCTCTCGCGGGAGCAAATGATACCCTTGCTCCCTCGGTCAAAAGACTTATGATTTTTTAATATAAATTTTTGGGATTGTTTAAAATCACAAGATGTATATTTTTTACAGGATTGTATATAATGAGACCATTTGCCTATTATATTAGGATGTCACAATTATTTATAACCGTCCGATGTGAAATTTGATAGCTTGGGTGTATCATAAAATTTGAAAAAATTCCTTTGATTTTTGAGCTTGGTCAATGGAATAGATACAGCCACCAATTTCATACCCAATGGTCCAGATTAATTATGACCACCTTGTAAAAAAGGTAAGCTGTCTACTTGTATACTTTTTCATTTTTAAATAAAAAATGGGTGCGGTTTCCATAAGGTTGCAACCTTAAATAATCCAATTAAGGCGCACAACCAAATTTTATCATAACATGTAATTTTGGTGTAAAAAGTTATTAGGATTATCTAATAATCTATTTTCATATCTTATTATAAAATTTTAAACTACATAAATGGTTAAAATCAAGTAAAACTTTAGACATATGAAAATACAAGATGTATTATACATATGAAAATACAAGATGTATTATTTTTAGGACTCAATTTTTTTTTTTTTTTCGTTTTTACATTTGCACATTTTGATATCAAGATCAATTAGATGGTTGAAAAATATTAAAACAACCCTTTTCGATAGATTTTTTAGGTGCATATGTAATTCTACATTTTATAGTTGCAACCTTGTATAAACTTTTTTCGTAATAAATGAATTGAGTTTCTAAACACTTAGATTGTGACAATCAAATGCAGTGTCTACTCAATTATCTTGAGAAGAGTGTGTGTCAGGAAACTTGAGGGGCATTTGATAATGGGAAGTCACAACCTTTAAAGCCACATCTTCTTATATGAAAAAACATTGTAAAAAAAGGGAGGACATCTTTCATATATGAAAGGTGCCCTTTTATAAGTCGGGGAAGATGCAAAGCTACATCTTCCACCAATGCCTCATCTTCGACTAATCATTCTCTCTCTCGGGGTCCTACATGTACCGCGAGAGAACAAATGTACATTGTGCTTTCACACAGAAACAAAAAATCGTTTTGTTAGCCTAAAATAATCTCATTTAAGAAACCTTGCCTTACAAAGATATTTTGATGAAAAATAGGCATGGATGATTACAAGAGTCAATTATCTCATTTGGCCACAAACCCTAGCTAAACATTGTGGATTAACAATATTAAATTATTGAATAGACTAATTTTTCTTAATCCTTTTAAAAAAATTAGACTAATGTTACTTAAACTAATTTTTCTTTTAAGAACTTAGGATATTCTCACTTGTAAACAAGAGCAAGGCATAACCATCCAATATTCTCAACCGACTTGGATGACTCAAACTAATTATTCCTTAAATATTCTAGGTGCAGGACCAGGTCATTTAAATTTTGTTTCTCTCTCTAAAAATTTGGTAATTTAAGTCCTACTTCTCTCTCTATAATTTAGGTCATTTGTGTCAACATCTCTCTCTCATCACAAAACCATGCAAAAGAAGAGACAGAGATTTAAACACATGTGAAACACCCCGAACTCTGTTGATAATCATTAGGGGCTCTGGTTTTTGCTGGGCCCCAAGCTTTCCTATGTAAATGGGGAATATTTCCGTACCATAAATAGAAAAAAAAAAAAAAACCAGTTATTTATCTATTTCTCTGAGATCTTCATGGAAACCGCAATGCCCTTCCCTTCATTAACCACTTTTGGTTTTTCCTTCCTTTTGATCTGTCACCACTGTTTATAGTTTATTTTTTCTGGGTTTTTTGTGGTTTTCTTATGTGATAATTCATTGGGTTTCTTCTTTCGTTGAATTTAAAGGATTGAAGATGCCTTATCTATGCATTTAATTTTTAATGTTTATTTCTGATCGCCGAAATCATCATAATTGTCAGGATAATATGGATAATGATGTCCTTTTTATTGAAATGATCAATGTTTTATATCGGGCTTTTCTCATAGTTTAAGGCCATTCGATATCTTTCTAATCCCTGATTTCTCTCTCTGCATTTGTTTCCTATTTTCCTTTTACTGTTGGGCTCTTATTGTTGCTCAAATCCAGCATTTGGATGCGAATGAGCCGACACTGGTTTTTCTAGGGTTTTTAATGGGTTTCTGTTTCTTGGGGTTTTATGGATTTTGAAAGACTGGTTTCTCCCATGTTTTATTTCAATCTTAGTGACGTTTTGACAGGTTAGTATAATTGTTTTCGCCATTTGTTGGTATGCTGAGAAAGTTATGTTAAAGAGGGCTGGTTCTCTATTTCTTCCCCATCTAAGGGTTAAAACTCCTCTCTATTCTGTACTTTCTGATCCTGCAACTATTGGTTGCGGAATGGCTCTGAACCAACATCACATTTCTTCAAATTTATTGCGCTCTGATTATAGTTTCTTAACTAACAACCCAAGGAAGTTCTATAGTGTTGGAAGGATTAATGGGAATTGCAGGTTAAATTTGAAGAGTTATTTTGATCACGGGTTGTTTATTAATGGAGGTTTCGGCAAGATGCCTCCGCATAAATTGGCTTATGATTCAAAGATTGCCATGAATTGTTCTGTTAAATCCACTGTGAAGGTTGATGAGGCGGTGGAGACAAAACCCATTAATGGGTTTGGAGATTTTGAGCATCGAAGTCCATTGAGATTTCTAGACAGACCCATGCCTCAAAAACTGAATGTCGCTGTAGATGTAGATGAGGGTACGTCTTTAACTCTGAACATTTGTATGTATTCACTCTTAATATTTTTCCTCTCTCTAAAGTTAGTCATGTGGCTAACATTGTCAATGCATAACTCGTAGTGTAGGTATTTTCTATCGCTAAATCATATAAATTTGTTTCTTTTGGTGAATGGCTAATCTTGTTTTTAACAGTGATGATATTCTTCAGTGATTGATGATTTTTATTTCTTCTTTTTTTGTTTTTTTCCTTTGTTAGACAAGGTGGTTTTTGTGAGGACCAAACAAATTAAAGGCAAATTTGATGATCATGTTGTTCAGCTTTTCCTCTTAAGTGCTTTTCATGTCCTCTAGGATGTGGCTTGATTGGTTAGTTATTGGTGGTTGCAGTACTACATCCCAAGTTCCATTCGTAGCACCAAAGTACCAAAAGAAAACAAATTTTTTATCCTTTATTTATTTATGAGTAATAATCCTATGAGACCCTCCCACACCCATGTATATAGGACCCCAAAGGATCACCATTAAATTTAGATCAGATTTCTAAAAAATTCAAGTCCCACACCCATATGATAACTTTTCTAGAGATATGTGCCAAATTTAATGGTGATCCTTTGGGGTCCTACATATATGGGTGTGGGAGGGTCTCATAGGATCATTACTCTTTATTTATTTATTTATTTCCCATTACTGTCCATTTTGAGTTGCGCTCCGTGCTTCATGTCATTGTCATAAATCCAAGATTGTTACTAATTTGAAATTCTAATTTTAATAGGAAGTTGTTGTTTCATGCAAGGGATGATGGTGTTCATTGTTCATCTATGGTACAGATAGTGAATATCTTGTCCTTTCTAATTATAATATTTGCTTTTATCTTTTATATGAAAGGAAGAACATGACCCTTTTTTATCCCTATTTAATTTAGGTGTTCCTAAGAAATCAATAATCGTTTCTGCTACTTTGATCTATCATGCTTTTTTTATTTTAACTTCAATGACAAAAGTTTCACTCTTTGTTTCTTGTACACAGTTCTTGGCAGCTTCCTTTCAGCTTTAAACAAATTCATTGCTGCTCGCTATGCTTCAAATCACTTGGTGTCAGAGTACCATGTGTATGAGTTTTTTAGGGTAATTTCCAATAGCCTTGTGAACTCCAATGATGCATGCACATGCATACTCACATATATGTATGACATGCACGTCTTGTGCGGATTGAGATGTACAAATGCATTACCTGCACTTGCCCACATAAACAACTTTTTGCAAATAGAGATCTGTAAATGTATGCATGCACATGCACATGCACACATATCTTTTGTGTAATAATTTTTTCATCACGGTTGTCTCCTGCTTCCTTGCAGATTTGGAATTGTTCTCGGAGTGAAGGTAAGCTGCCTTCGAACTTCATATGTGGAATTTGATTTGCATTCTTGATGTCATTTGATTTATTTGTAGTTCATACCTGTGCTAGTATTTGCTTGCAACCTCCATAGATCCAATATTGCTTATCAATTTATTCTTTTTCTTCTTTTTTTTCTAATAATTACAGCATGTCTTATAAGTTTTGATTTCCCTCTGCCGCCTATGGTTGTTGTTGTAAGGTTTTGTTCATCATTCTGTCCAATTTAGAGTTTATTTTTTTTCTTTAAATGGACATGCTATGTGAGTATGGGTATGTTAAAGAACATTGAACAAGTTTCTTGATGCCTTTCCATGATTTGATATCCTGCGTGTAAAATTCAAAGCAACTATCGTTAATCATCCAATCTTATCAGCCAAACAAAAGGGAACCGTAAACAAATACATGAACACTCATTCCTGAGACGTACTTCCTTCACTTGAAATATGAGTCACTGTAGCATCATGTGAAGTGAACTCTTAAATAAAAATGCTTTCGATTTAAAGAAAAAAGGAGAGTGCTCTTACTCTCCTTCTCTGATTGGGTATTGATCTATTCTTCCTCATCAAATCAAGCTATCAAGAAAAGTTCTCTGTATAATGTACTTCCTTTTATGCTTTGCATTGCGTGTTGTTTATTTTGAAGATTTCGGATAGCATTGCCCCTGGATGTAGAATTATTTTTTCTACCTATCCCGACCATCACAAGTTGTCTCCAAAATCTACATATTCCAATTCCTGCATCTAAACCATCTACTCTTTGTTCTATTCGATGGCATCACAGACTAGGTTAAACATATGTTTACTAGTACACACAAACTAATGTCACAATAGATTTCAATTAATCTGAATAAAGGCTTCTCTTTTCTACACGCATTTGTAGATTTGAAAAGATTTCGGGAGAATCTATTTTATTTCTAGTTAATATATCATCTTCATTTGAATCCCCTAGAATGTTCTTGTTGTTTTGCTATTATCTTGTGGATAAATAACCCCAGCTTATTTATCTTACGCGGCCGATTTTGATACATTATACTTCATTGAATTTCTTGACATGATTTACATCCTATTCAGTGCTACAAGTAGAGTTTACATTTAGATTCAGGGGAAGGGGGTCTAGTGCATATGAATTCAAAGGGCTTGTTTTTATGCCTCATGGCATTATTCATCAATACATAATTTAAACAACTATTCAATTTTTAGGTGTCATGGATGTTCTCCTGTGCTTTCGAGCAAAAGCCTTCCTCACTGTGGTTTATTTGATTTGTCATGTATCGCTTTCAAATACTACTTGTGCTTAGATTATCATAGGGAAAACTTTAGATTATCTCACTTTGGATTGAATGTATGAGTTTGTCCTTCTCTAATGTGCAAATTAAATACAAAATTTTGTGCAGTATTTTTCTCGGTTGTGTCTTTGATTCTTCTTTGTATCTTCTTTTCAACATCTAAAATGTTGCATATCTTGAGAATTTCCTAGTTTTTCCCAATAATACTTAATATTTCAGATACCTCTATACCCTTCTAATCTTGACTAGGATTGTTTTTCTCATTCCATATAATGCTCTGTATGGACCAATTCATGAGAAGTTTACTGGATGCAAACAGAGGTTGCACCCACTGCCCACTACAAGGCAACTGTTTGGTTGCCTACCATTGAGCCTTTGTTTGAACCTCTAGTTTTTGATCCCCCAGAGGTTTGCTTGGCAAAGAGAAGGTTAAGTCTCCATCTTTGTCATACTCTGGATATTCTTTAGAAGCTTGCTCACAGCAAATAACACAGGAGATCTTGATACCCTACACAATTATATGCCAATGTTTTAGTTCCTTCACCACTAAGGAGGGAAAATATTGGTTCTAGATGGTTGTACATAGCGAAGGACCAAGTAGATAGCTCTATGGATCCCTTTAAGCTTGAAAGTTGCTAAGCTGATTCTCAACAATATGGTGTTGACAATGCAGATTGCTTACACTATTTTTGCCCTTGTGACCATTTAACAGTTGGATCATTTTCAGCCAGTTTTGAAACATCTTCACGGGGATCTACATGAGGAAGTCTACATGCTTCTGGGTCTATGACTGTCGGATGCCTCACATGCCTATGTACTTCTTAAGACATTATAAATGTACTTCTTAAGGCATTATAAAGACTCATATAGGCTTGTGAGTGTGGTCTGGGTCTATTGCTATCCTTATTTATGTGGATTGGGGATGACTAAATGTCCATTACTTAGCTTAAGCATCCCTAGTGTTAGTTATATATGATTGATATGAGTTATCCTGGATTGTCTTTTAGTCTCATAGGTTTTGTTCTATCATATCATTAGTATGCCTGTGACATTCTGTGACGTTATTACTCGATTAAATTTCAAACTGCTAAGACATTCAGCATTCCTCCTGATCCGTGTGGGAACCTTTTTTCATAGTTGGGGGAGTTGAGTAGTCAAATCACTCCCATAGTCAACCACCTATTTGGAGTCTATTTAATGGTAACCACCAGACATTATGCGTGCAGTTCATTTTGTTATCCAATGTATGGATTTTCCTTACCCGCCATACTTATGAACAGTTTTTATATAGGCCATACTTTTGTGGGAGTAGATTTTGCGCTTACTCCCTACTTATGAGGATTTTCTTCATCTGAAATATAGAAGAACACTTTAGAATCACCAGAGGAGTATTTTCAGGAAATAATGAAGAAGGATTTTGACTTCTTAAGCACTTCGATCTGACCATCCAAAAGTGGATGGTGTATGTTCATGCTAGGACATTATCTTTTCCAGGCTGACATAGAATGTGTCAATTTTTTTTCTTATTTCTAAGTTGATCACTTGGTTAAGTAGGTTATGTCTCCATGTTTTGGGGACCTAAAAAGGCTTCTAGTTAGGGTTTTACCTGAGGGAGTCTCTTGTGGGAGTATTATCTTTTTTTAGGAATGGGGTTGAGGTCAAGGTGGTAGCACCACCTGTGACTCAGCTACTGGTCTCGGTTTCCATTCCTACCAATGCTAACCCCCTTAAAAAACTACTAACGGTTTCAAAAATTGCTAACCCACTACTAACGGTTAATGTTAAAAACAAAATAAAAGCATATTTTCGCTTTTCACTTATATGCTACTCTCATGGTCATGGATTTTAATGCTTTCTTCTGCACCTATTGCGTAGGTTATTTGAATCCTTATTTATTCACTTCCCAGAGGAAGTGCTCAAATGGGGTGCTCTTCTATTTGATTACTAGCCCCCATTTGAGCTCTCGCTGTAGGGATTTTTGATCCTCTAGAGGAAATACTCTATGTATTGATTGTTGATCATTTGACTGACGTTTCAACTTTCATTGAGGACTTTTTGCCTATTTACTGATGGTTTTCTAGTAGAAACTTGCAATCTGGATTCTGGCTACTATTCATCCTCTTTAAAAGTGTTAGGATGTTTATCCCTTTTACAAATGTTCTAATGTTCTAGTGACATCCCTTTACCATACCTGGGGAGTTTGGATGTGCGTGGTCCCACAAACTGGGGAGGTTGCAGGTGCAAAGCAAAGTCCAAAGCAACAGAAGAGAAAAATGTGGGTGATTTGCAATTTATTTGTATTTGCACTGCAATTTATTGTGTATTTCTTAGCTATAGATGGCACCTGCTTTTGGGCATTGGGTTATTTCCTGAAAAAGGAGAAGAGACGTTTGCCATGGCTCCCTGCCATGTGACAGGGCCCTGTACATTTCCCTGCATGCCATACCATTTCTTGAAGTTTGTCCTTCTTTCCCATTTGGATGCAAAAATAATAAATTAGACGTGCTCTTTTTCCCTTCCAGAAATTGGGCAAAGGTCAAACTTAGTCATACTAAAACCAAAATGTCTTGGGATGGAATGTCGAGTGTTTTTACATTCCGAATTTTAGAACACTTACTTTACTTAGTCAATGGACTCTTTCTCCTACCTCATGTAGGCCTTCGTGAGGCACAAAATTCAGTAGAGGTACTTAATTGCCTCTACACAAAAAAGAAATAGAAGAAGAAACAGAGGTTGTGGGGGTGTTCCTAGAGGTGTAGCTTAAATGGAACGAGGATATCCATATTTATCTCAAATTTTTGCATCCCTTAAGACTCAGTATTGGTTCCTCCCAAGGAGTATCCCAATTTTTTTGTCTGCCACCATAAAGTTTCCATAGAAGCATTGCACTCCTTGCTTGTTACATAACTAAAAGTACGCAGTACATGACATGACTGACATATATAAGAAAGTTCTCATACAAGCCAGAAGTAGTGAAACTCGTGGCAATAAATGGTTTTCAAATAAGGATTGCTAGTACATAATTATTAATTCATTAGTTTCCAGATGTCATCAGTAGGCAGATATGAATTTGTAAGAAAGGAAAAAATTAGCTATAACACGCACTGAGTCATAGTTTCATTATGTAGTAATGCTTGTAATCCTATAGCTTTATCTCATTCCGTGTCACTCTTGATCCTCATTAGAGAAGTTGCGTAACATAGCAAGTGGGACGTAGATCAGGGAATTCGATTTGCTTGATACCATCTTTAATGATACATGATTTCAGTGCTTCGCTTATGTTCATGTTATACATAGGAAACAAGAAATCTCATTGGCAGGCTATTCTCATGACCATTTTATCTAGTTTTATAATATTTATTTATTTTCATCTGTTGCTTATTTCAAACTCATCACATTAAAAGCTGATAAAGTTTTGGATGAAAAGGAAATAACGTTAGTTTTGCCTTCTTATATGTGCAGCTGATATCCGAGTTCACGAATTTTTTACAACACCATACTTTAAAACAGGGATCCATCCTATTCCAGGTGCTAGAAGGGCATTGATGAACATGTCAACTTATTGCAATTTGTCAGTAGTGACGTAAGTATCATTTGTGGGATGTTTCAGAAACAGGCATGTGATGAAACCTACATTTCTTAGGTTTTGAATCTGTGCGCAAGTGCATGTGTGTGTGTCTGCACATGTGCGTTCGCGCTCGCATGTTTGCTTGTGTGACTGTTGTTTCATATGTTGTGGCTATGGTGTGCCTAGAACTTGTGTTTGTATCTTTTGTACCTCTCAAAGTTTGTTTTATGCTTTTTTCTCTTTTGCAAAGATCACGTCAAAATGCCATCAAGGATCATACAATTGAATGGATCGAAAAGCATTATCCAGGGTTGTTTCAGGAGATTCACTTCGGCAATCACTTCGCTTTGGACGGAAAATCACGACCCAAATCAGAAATTTGCCGGTATTGTTTTGTCATAAACTTTGTAGTTCTTACATCATGCTTTCATGATATGGTTACAATTCAAAGTGAGTGTCTAGCTTGAGAGTGAAAATGGTTGATATACGAGAGTGGCATTGCATTTTCTAAGTTTGAGAGTGATATTGCATAGAGAAAAGGCGAGAGTAGGCATATGCTTAGCAAAATAAAAAAGATAAAGCATTTTCTAGAGGTCCATGTAGGTAGCCACGTTGTTATAATCGGACAAGATGCGCTAGTCCCAAATCCTAATGAATCCTGCTGGAGCCACTCCTCTTTGGTCCATTTGAACTACAAACTACAAAAATGTTTTATCTGTGCGTGTGTGTGTGCGTTTATTAAATTTTCACAAATGACAAGCATCAGACCCCAGAAGCACCAAAATACTCAGGTGACTCCATTACCCTTTTGCAGGTCACTAGGAGCACAGGTCTTGATAGACGATAACCCACGATATGCATTGGAATGTGCTGAAGAGGGCATGAAGGTTCTACTTTTTGACTACGATAACACATACCCTTGGTCTAAAACTGGTTCAGCAACTTCGCATCCTCTGGTCACCAAAGTTCATAACTGGCAAGAAGTTGAGCAACAATTGACTTCATGGGTACCATCCTAAGACCTTAGAAGATCTGGACTCATACAAAACAAAGCAAGCTTGGAGAGATTGGAAATCGCTCACTTTTCTCCTTTGGCTTTGATGAAATGCCTTTATCTCTAATTTGCACAATCACGTTGTGGTGGTGTTAGAATGATCGAGCTTGATGCCGCTTTATTTTGCAACAAATTGAACAGTTAATAGGCCACAGAGGAATACACATCAAGGATTTTGCTGCAAGTTATACCTATATAGGATGCATTTGAACGTAATCTCTCTCCCCCTCTGAGGAACCCAAGGCTGGGTTTAACAGGATCAACTCACTGTCGTGAATTCCCTTTACCTTTTACGGAATACACCATTATTAAACGATGAGGACATTTGCATGTCTGTGTAACATTTTATAATCTTGGACGTATCATTGTATGCGGTGTATATTGTCTCTCTAACTTGGACAACATAATGAATAAGATGAGCCTTTTTGTGGTGGTGAATATCTGTTGCTGAGTTGTGCCATAATCTCCTTAATTTTCGCCTTATCTCATGAGAAAATTGGATGTTTCCTCAAATGATCAATGATGGCCATGCTTTCTTGTAATACAAATTCGAATCCTTCATAATATTCCAATTACCATACCAATTTTATATATATTTTGGAAATCAGTTCTTGACTTCTTTCGCACTTTATTTTTGTTTTCTTTTTGACTTTTGCTCTTCTTGGGCATTGTTCCTTTTTCTTTAAATAAAAGGGCCGGTGTTTTAATGGTAAGATTTTGTCATGGTTTTTAACATGTCGGTTTCTGGACATTTTCAGAGGGTTTCATATTTTATTTTTGGTGCCATCCCTTGTGTCTAAACTTAGGGGTCAAGGAATCTTTCTTTACACATGAATCGATCTTTTCTACGATATGCATCCGAATATGACTGTAAGATCACTAGAGAGATTATAATACAATTGGCCAGGCCATGTAATTTCAAAGAATTTCACCGTACAGAACAGAGCACAGAGCATTGCTCGGCTCCCATGAATCTTCTGACATTATTGCCTAGAGTTCAGAAACATCAGTTAAATATTTACAGATCACAGCTACTACTTTTCACAAGTCCCTCAAGCTCCATATAACTCATGTTTCCCTCACCTAATTTGAGAAAGACCAATATATGCGATTCCTCATTCAACCCCTACCCCTAACTCTTCTTTTTCTCTCCTCTTTGCAAACAAGTGAGCGTCTCTCTAAAATTGTAATAAGAAACCCACCTCTGAAACAGAAACACCCAATGGTGAAGAAACATCATAGATGAGGTTTCAATACCCACCTCCAATTTTGAACAGGAAACATATCTTTGCCTGTAGCTTCTCTCTAGAGTTTCAGAACCAATCTCTAATTTTGACTACTTTCCTTGAACATACACCCACAATTTTGAGGAATTCTCATCATATAATTTCTCTCTAGAATCTCCCCACCAGGCACCAACCTCTAATTATGATTACTTCCTCCAACTCCCTGTTCTAGATCACCACCAAGTGGACTACAAGGAACACTTCTTGTCTCTCCACCAATTGGACTGCAAGGAACACTCCTTTTCTCTCTACTCAGCATCCTCGTCAAGGATCGAAACCGGGCGACGGGCGACTTCAGAGACAAACCACTCGACGATCCCCCCTCCGATGATTCACCATCTGCAACTCTCAGGGAACGCCAAGCATCTCCTCTTCTTGGGATTTCAATCACCAGATTCTCTGAAACTTTCTTCAAAGAACGCGACCTCTCTTCCGAACTTGAAGAATCCAAACCAGAATTCAATTGGTCTTGATTACCCCAAAACAAAACGTTTGTTGGGTAATTAGGACCATCTTCTCTAGTGGCTGAATCCTGGTTCTCTTCAATGGGAACAACGATTTGGATCGAAGTCTCGGACCCAGCTGAATTCGAATTCTCAGAGCTCTCGATCAATGGTGTCTCCATCTTCACACAGCTTCTACAGAGAGGGCATGTAGAGTGAGAGTGAAACCACATGTCTATACACTCGATATGAAACTTGTGATTACATTTCGGAAGCAATCGAACTTTCTCATTCTCCTGAAACTCACATAAACAAACAGCACAGTCGAGCCCATCTTTCTCTCGCTTTAGATCGAAGTCATAAACAGGAAGGCTCTCTATAATTGATGCATCAAGTCCTTGTCTCTGAACTAGAACTGGGTCAAGATCACTAGCGAAAACAAACCTTCTTCTGATTATGAGAGCGTCTGTACCGTTCCTACTCCAATATAACCTTGTATAGAGATGGAGAAAGAGAACAAATACAACAGCAATAAGCAATACAATTATACCAGCCACCAGCACCTTTCCATCTACAAATTGGGGTTGTTGGGGAGTCTCAAAATTGGTGTTGACAAATGAATCCCCCATTTTAGAGCCTTCAGAGAATTGGGGTCTGAAAGAAATTTTGTGGGGTTTAGAGAGAGAAGGTAAAATTGTGAAATGAGAAGAGAGAATATGGAGAAATTCGAAACTTGGGTTCTACAGGGGAGAGAGTAAGACAGTCTTGATCTGATGAAGAGGGTGAAAAGGCCGGGAATGATTTGCAGCGAAAGAGATAGAGAATCGAAATTGGGCTTGTGAATTCTAGAGAGAGGAAGGGAGATGGAGGAAAAAAACTAATGGGTTTTGTAGAGAGAGAAACTCAGAGAAATCTAGAGAGAGAAAGGAGAAAAACATGAAGAAAGGCAGCAGTCCAGGAAAGGTTTTATACAGGGGAGGGAGAGAGAGGGGCGATTTTGGTTTCAAATTCAAAGTAGGGGTGAGTGGCATTCAAAGCGGCGGCCTTGCCATTCTACAAGACTTCAACGCTGGCTCGGTTTCCTTGGTTCTTCCTCACTTTCTCTCACTAAGATTCATTGTTTCTTGGCTTTCTCTCACTAGGTTTATCAGTTTCCCGCTTCCTTTTGTCTCTTTCTCTCTCTAAATCTTAAACGTGTTAGTTGGACTGTCAGCAAGTGTGGACCTCAAATTCACGACTTATCGCAGCGGTGATTACGGATTATCAAATACCCTTGTTCTTCTCTGTAAATAACAATGATATCCATACTGACCTTTTCCCGATGTGAATGGTTAACTTCGAAGCTGGAAAAACCCAAATCTTTTTGCCTAATGACCAACTAATTCTCCTTTAAATCGGATCAAAAATCCAATATTTATGGATGAAACCTACAAATCGATTCGCTTAATAATAAATCATCATCGTCAAAATATTTTCTCGACTCATTGATAATAATGAACTTGAAATGGAAATAAATTTATAGATGTTATTAATCTTATATTGTAGAAGTGAGGCACACACTGACTTAAAAATCTATTAAAAAAGGTTGTACCAATACTGGAAAACTTACTAATAGATGATCCAAAATTCGAGGTGTTGGATGCGAAAGAAAGAGGTTTCAAGCTTTAAAATATTGCATCTCGTAATATATTTTGGTCATGTTTATTTATAAGATTTGAAGTTTTTATGGACCCATTCAATTTGACTATTTTTAATGCCTTAAATTTTATAATTAGGGATAGAAATAGATTTTGAGGCCATTGGAAAAATTTTCAACACTAAAAATACATTTTTTGACAAGATTCGGAGGTATGCCTTACTTTTAATTATTTAAGGTGGACATCTAATACAACTCTCACCCTGTGAAAGAAATATATAATCTAAAGACTTGATGGTAATTAAATGGGATTGTGTACAAAGAGGCTATTTATCTTTTGTATATGGAGGTTACAAGCATTCCCACTAATTAGATATCAAATTGGATTGCTTGAGGTGAGTCACGAAATCCGATAATTTGATAGGGGTTGGGGCATCAGTGGTGGTCAAGGGGTGGATACCTCAACATAATGTTCTGCCCTCTAGTTTTACGGCTGACATCATCATCATTATCTAAGCTTTATATTAACTATTTGTAGTCCGTTACATAAATCTCATCATATCATTCAAGTTTTTCACTAACTTCATTTATCTTTCTACGCTTTTAAAACCGTATGCTTGAATCAAATTGTATCTCCTAATCATTATTATATTACGTCTACATTGCATATAAACAACTCACCTATAGCGGCTTTATCTTATCTCATCGCCTATTAGACCGGTGTTATTTTTGCACCAAAATATACGCATTTATGTCATTTATAAGAAAATCTTTAGGTTTGGTTTGAGCCCTAAAGTCGCTTATAGGCCAAGGATAAGATGGTTATATTTGAAAAAAGAGAGGTGCCTTAAACATGAGTCGCTGTTGCTTATTATAAAAGTTATGGGGCGTTTTGGTCATTATTATTTGGAATAGATCATTCAGTGCACGACGAATGTCACTTAATAATCCTAACAGATACTTAGGACAAAGGCCAAGAAATTGGCAGAAATAACGAAATTGCCGTTGAAATTAAAAATGAAAAAGGTATAAAGGTTGAGGCCTCAAGACCCATCTAAAAAATTCACCACTAAAAAACCCTTAAATTCAATCACTTTGGATAAGACGATGGAGGTGAAAAACAAATTTGGAATTCAAGACGCATCTTGTCGTATATTATGTAGACGGTAGATTTTTAAATGTTTATAAATTTATTTTATTTACATTATTTTTAAAATTTTAAAATTTATGATTAAAAATTAAAATAAATTTTCAAATCATCATAAATATTATTGATACTAAAACCACATCTCTTATCACCATTTGAGATTGATTATCGCCTCAACCATATACAAACCGCACCCATTAAAATACCATTTACATGGGTTGGCCTCCAATGAACCGTGGAGAGCACGCTGAAGAGGAAATTTCGTAAACGTTTCTCAAAATTTATTTTCAAACACGTAAGACTAGGATGCCATTTGAGCCGTCAATTCAGAAATGTGGTAATATTAATAAATAATGAAATATACATTCATTAGACTCATAAACTGGCATTATTGTGCCACAGACAACATAAATAAACGAAGGGTGCCGTATCTATAGGGTTGAAACCTTAAAAAATCCAATTAAAGCGCACCTTCAAATTTTATTGTAATTTTAGCGTAAAAATTTTTCAAGATTATCTGAAAATCTATTTTTATATTTAATTTTAAAATTTTAAACTTAAAAAATAATTAAAAATAAAATAGATATATAAACGAAAAATCTTGAAAATGGACGGTCAAGATAATGTGATGCAAGATGCACTATTTTTTATATTCAAAATCTTTTTTTTTTTTTTTCATATTCATACATCTTGATGTCAAGATGATCAATTAAAAGGTTTTCAACATTAAAATAACCTTTTATGATGGATTTTTGACGTGCATTTGTAATTCTATATTTTAAGGTTGTAACCTTATATAAAATTTTTCCTTTTTTTTTTTTTGTAAACCACCCCCTCAAGTATAAAAAAATATTTATTTTTATCAAAGCCTTTTTTTTTTTTTCTGTCATCGCTCTCACCTTTTCTCTAACCTTACACAACTATTTTCTTGTGCCAGACCGGCTCTACTGCACGAGTCCAACACATATTTTGTGCCGAACCGACATTTTTTGTACCAAAAGCAAGTCTTGGACCTGCACAATTTGTGCTGGACTGAGTTAGAGAAACTGGTGTGTGTGACAACAGGTGATAGAAATGTAGCGAAAATGTGTATTAAAAAGGGTATTTTTATCCTTCAAAATATAACTTTTGGGGAATGGGAGAAAAAAAAAAAGGGTATTTTTTTGGCATTAAAGATATGGTTTAAAAAGTTTTTGGGGAATGCCTAGAAAGTAGAGTTAAAGGGGTTTCTATAATTTTCCTTAGTATAAATATAAAGGGTGTGGTTTGTATAGAGCCGAGGCTCTATACAATCAAAGTAAAACATATCATCAAATAATATTGAAAAATATGGTTTCAATATTAGAAATCTTTGGATTAGCCTTAAAATATATTTTCATATTTAATTATAAATTTTAAAGCTTCAAAAATAGTGTAGATCAAACAGATCTAGAAAAACTTGATAATATTGAAAATTGATGGTAAAAAAATGTGTTACAAGATGTATGATTTAAAAAACTTGAAATCTACTTTTTTCTCATGTTCATGCATTTTGATGTCGAGATGATCAATTTGAAAATATTTGAGCATCAAAACAATATCTTCTAGTGAAAGTTTTGAGATAGGGTTAGTTTGTTTGTTTAGAGCCTCGGCTCTATATAAACGTTTTCAAAACATCAAAGGAGCATCTACGTAAAAAATGATTAAAAATGTAAAAAGATTATGAGCACTCATACTATGCTCCCATGGGAGCAAATATTTGATTTGCTCCCTTAGATAAAAAATGTAATTGGAAAAGTTTTCTGGATTTGAAAATTTGGGATCCATTTATATATCATCGAATGCTTATTTCCAAAAAGAGACCAATTTTTGAGCTATTTAACAGTTAGATTTTGCTATCCAAAAATTGGACAGAGTTCATTCAATTTAGAGTTTGTTTTTTAGTCGGGTAAAAAGTGTATTGAAATTTTTTTTTGGGAAATCAACATAAGATTAATGAGAAGTTCTAGCAAAGTTTTATGTTGGCTGCCTATTTAACATAGCTTATTTCTTTTATCGGGGTAGTGTCAATAAGAGATAAGATGAAAGAAAGTAAACTTAGGTGGGCTGGTCATATGTAGCGTAGACTTTGTACAACGCCTATTAAGATGTGTGAGTTAGTGTAAGTGGAAGGTTCAAGGTCTGCGACCCATACCTTTGGATTTCTTTCTATTTCAATTTGTTTTTGAATTTAGCTGGTATATCCCTTAGGCCCAATTGAATTTCATCATGGTTTACTACCCATGCCGAAGGGATTTTATGCTTCCTACTGCCTTATACATAATCTTCCATCAAATTTGCAAAATTTTACTGGGAAAAAAATAAAAGGAAAAAGTTTATATAAGGTTGCAACCTTAAAATGTAGAAATACAGATGCACCTAAAAAATCTATCGGATTTTTTTTTTTAATGTTAAAATATCTTCTAATTGATCATCTCGACATCGAGATATATGAATATGGAAAAAAAAAAAGACTTTAAGTCTCATAAATACTGCATCTTGTAACATATTATCTCGACCGTCTATTCTCAAGTTTTTTCATATGTCTATAGATCTACTTGATTTTAACTATTTTTGCAGTTTAAAATTTTATAATTAGGTATAAAAATAGATTTTCAGATAATTCTAAAATTTGTTTACTCCAAAATTACATGTTCTGATAAAATTCGGAGATGTGCCTAAATTAGATCGTTTAAGATTACAACTTTATGAAAACCACACCCAAAATAAAATGCTCTTGAATAAATTTTTTGAACGAGGGAATAAGTGTATGCTCCTGGAGGAGCATACTATTCGTGCTCTCGAGATCCCAACCATGGAGGGAAAAAAATTCGAAAAAATAAGGTCTTAACCATGATTTGAAAAAACTTAGAAATTTATTACAAAGAATTGAAGTGACTGCTAAACCCCTTTTTTCTCTCTCTCTCTCTCTCTCTCCCTTCACACATTCATCTCATAAGTTTAAGTAACTCATATCAGTCGGGTGAATCGGCCCTCAGAATCAGCGAATAGCCGAATTTGCCGAGAGAATTGAAGAAAAAAAAAATAAATAAAAAAAATAAAAAGTAAAAAACTCTAAATTTTAGTAGTACCCAGTGCTAAAATTTACGTTAAAAAAACCATAATTTGAACAGCAAAATGGGTCAAATCTGGGAAAAGTAGGAGATATGGGTGGGCTTAGCAATGCTATGTGGGTTGTTGGAAGCCTAAAAAATCCTTTACTTCTCCTTGATGCAATTTTTCTAGATGTGATTTTCAATTGGTGCGGCTTTTTCCAGGGTTTGAATCTATTACAAAGGAAATCCAAGTGAAAAAAACCCCAAAATAACTGTATGGGCACAATATTATATGCCGGAG